ACACACACACACACACACACACACACACACACACACACACACACACACACACACACACACACATCACGCTGTTTTGTCACTTTGTCACCCATTAACAAAAAAAGCACGGCTCACACCTCGTCAACGCATACTGAGGTCTATATGTGCTCCGCACGCGCATACGCCCACGCGCACACAAGCCCTACACATTCACACGGACGAGATTACAACAGGTGCAGTCGCCTGCGCGTCTCCACGGCGATCAGAAGGACCGACGCATGGGCTCTAGGTCGCGGTAATCACCTTTATCACCTTTAACACGCCGCCCCGGAGGCAGCACGCTAATTGGCCGTGAGGGTATAGCCTACCTGCCCGTGAAACGACTTTTCCTCCGGTGTGCGAGTCACCCCGTTCTGTTAGAGCACCGTTGGCGGAGACGCTGAAGGTGTTTGTGTGAATTGCCAAGATGTGTTTATTCTGTTTGCATCCGTCCTGTGCTCTTGAGGAGTCCGTCCGACAGTCAAAGATGGACTCATTCAGTCTCTGTGTTGGACCTGCCTGGGGAATTCACCAGCGTGTCATGTGTTCCACACTTTTTAGATAGTTATTTTAAAAAAATCAACTGGTTAGATGGGGAGGACTCTGGTGGTGGTGATGGTGTGAAATGTTGTCCGTTTTGGCTGAAACACAGACCTACATGAATGGCCTTATGTCCGCTTTCTACATCTCACTTCTCATCGCCATGTCTCGAGAATTTGGGGTCGTTTTGGGATGAAGCAGTTGGTAGGTAGAGTGCCAAATCTGCGTCCTATCAGCTCGCCCAGACGAACGCCACCCAGCCGCCCACGGGTCTGGGTCTAAGAACCGGTGCTGCTGTTGCAGCTGCTTCTCTCAGTCGCCTGTTATAAAAGAAATTTTAAAAAGAAAGAAATGAAGAAAAAACACGATCTAATTCAGTCTTCCTTGTCGAATTCAAACCACAGCGTGGATGATGCACGGCGAAAGCTTTGAGCGCAGATCTGTCAAGCAGCAAAGGGACGGGAAGGGATCTCCCGACGCTCCTGGTGCATCTATCACGGCTACTCCTGCTGACAGATTTAACCCATTTGTCAGTCCAGTCCGGTAAGGGAGGGGGCACATAAGGGGGGCGACGGCAGCAGGCTGTGTATAGGTGAGCGGGAAGATATGCGACGCCGTCCTCAGTGGGAGTTGCCCTTCTATCAGGTGTGTGTGTGAGAGAGAGAGGCTGTGAGGTCCGAGCAATTAAGGGTTCAACGAATCACTGAAACAAAGCCCCGGGGAAGTGTGTTTGTGTTTTTTCATTTAGCCATTCTTCACAGCTATAAGAGTCATTGATGACCAATTATGGTGTTTAGGAAGTGACATCAGCCGCAGTACTTAAATGATGCAGTGTGTCTACCCCCCACTCCATCCCTCACTCCCACCACCCTTCCCAGGTCTTCATCTTTTTCATCTTCTTGCAAGATTCAAGGCACCTTCCTCCACCCAAGCCTTTTTCTTTCTTTTCCTTTTATTTTTAAACCACTGTTATTAGACCTTCCTTTCGTTCTTATCAGGCTGTCTGTGTTTCCAGCCTCTGATGAAAATACCCCCATTTTACACTCCGTATACTAATTATATAATAGACCATGTGAAGCCTCAGCTTCCCCCCATCAGTGGGACCGCAGCAGCTCGATTGCAGTCTTTAGCCTTGAGGTTGAACTGTGTCTACCGCGCTGCTCCGCCGTAATATTTAAAAGTAGTTGGAGCAGCCCTTTTCAACACCCGGCGCACTCTCCTCGCGCTGGTCGCAAAGGGTTAATACATTATGCGTTCGCCTCAGGGATGTAGCAGCGTGATGGGCCGCTAGACTGCTGTTTCTCCCTGGGATTTGAGACATCAGTGAAAAGTAAAGACAACACAAGCGAGCCATAAATGTTTCACCGTGGCGCTCTGACGGTGCTGGGTACAGAGTTAATGAGGCTATCGAAGGTTTTGAACCTGACCTACACAGGTCTGAACTTTACCTCTGTTTTTCTAAAGTTTCCTAAACATGAGCATTTTTCTTGAAGGGGGCGCTGTCCATGGTGCTGAATGGCTCCCCCTTGTTTTCCATTAGAGGCAGGACAAATGAAGGTGAAGTAAAATGCCTCAACATTTAGAAGGATTTGGGATCTATTACGATATTTTTTTTAAAAACACGTAAACATATTATAGTACTTCATCTCTAAAATAACACTCTATGGCCACTCGCTGACCTTTTTAAATGTCAAAATCTAATTTCTGTACTTCTCTAATAGTTTAAGATCCGCACTTTAAGGACAGAACTATACAAAAGGTGTCTTTAAAAAATAATAATGTATTTTTTTAGTACAGTTGGTGGACACTAAAACACGTACCACAAGGAAACATCTATGTATATATGTAACTTAAACATTATGACAGGACATTGAGAAAGGTGTTGTCCTTTTCGAGGAAATTCTGAGCATCAGACTGTTTATACCCTGCATGAATCTTTATACATCCATGTGCATCACTATGCTGAAATACTTTCTGTATTGGTTTCAAATAGATTTTATTTCTCAACATTTCTCATTTTGTCTTATTATTCAAGACACACAAAGGAGCGATTTAATCTTCTTCCTTTTCTGTTAGCCTGGGTTCAGATGTTGGAGGGTAACAAGATGTGCATATATTCAGATGTAGTTCTGCAAGATTTCAAGCTTTCTGCATATTCAAAACGTGTCTTTCAGGATGAGTTTTGTTAATCTTGTCCATCTCAACTACTCTGAAACAAAGAGCATGTTGGATTTATTTAATTCAATAGTGGACATTGGTTGCACACAATTGTTTTGCTTTGGCAGAAACAACTGAGTTAAATCAACACAACTCATTCATATTCAATGAACCTGTGCATTTTGTGTTGAGAAAACATGATTGAAACATGTTTAGATGAAGTAAGTTGAGATCTTGGAATATATTAATCCTTCACAATTTTGTCATTTTTATTCCAACACTATTCAATAACCAGTACTACTTGGTCACTTAAATACTACATGTTGTCTTCATATTACATCAACAAAGTCTAGTTAACATAAAAAATTGAATGGATTTACAACAACTTCCATATCTTTAACTGGGTTGCAGGGGCATAACCCCGAAGTGATAGGTTAAGAGGCAGGGTCCACCCTGGAAAGCTCACCAGTCTATCACATAGAGACAAACAACCATTTGCACTCACACGGGTAGTTTAGAATGACCAATTAAGCTAACTCTAATGAGTGCAGGTCTTCTAACTGTGGGAGGAAACAAGAATCCCCAGAGAGAAGCAACTGCAAGTTAGATTGTAGATTTGAACCCAGGACCTCCTTGCTGTGAGGCAACAGCACTAACCACCACGCCACCAATCCAGGCTTAACAACAGTAAGAAAGCTATGATTATAAGGCTTGATGCAGATAGCAGATAGGATGGTGTGTGTATAGTTGTCTGCCTCTTATAACTCCAGGGATTTTCCTGCAGTTTGAAATCTTAGGTGATCTTGTGAATTTCATGAGTCCAGCTACTAACCACTCTTACTAGATTCTATCATGTCATCTCAACAAGAACAAATTAAGTTGCTGAATTTCATACAGACCCTACATGATTTAATTGCGTTCACCATAGAAACATGAAATTATTTTGTTCAAATTACAAGTTAGACTTTTGTAAATGAAACAACTACCCAATTTCCTTTTTTTGGTATACCAAAAAAAGCAGAGGCGGCTGCTCGACTTGAGACTTGACATGGACGCCTTCCTCAAACCACAATCCAAAGGGCGCGAGACAAAATCACGTGTGGTGTCGCGAGATTTAACATTGCTATATTATTGACGTACTTCACTTGAACAAGATATAAACAACTTAATATACCCTCTCTGCATATCATGTAATTTCTATAGTTACACTGAACTTTAAAGCATGAGGCAATTGTGTTAAATACATGCAAGATGCCTACATAAATCCAAGAGATGGCCAGTCCCTTTTTTTCAGTATATGTTAGTGAAGCTGTAAAAGAAAAACAAGGAACATTAACTTAAGATTAGCGAACAAACTAAGAACACTGGTTAAACTGCAAAACAAAATTTAAACCTTCTCCTCTGTTTTTCTTTCTGCACCTGCAGGTTTATCAACATGCCCTGAGAAGTGAAGGTGATCCTGAGTGTGTCTGGAATACTGAAAAAATAAGCAGCTGCGGGACTTTTGGAAGAGGAATATTGTCCCACTCCTATCTGACACAGGATTCTAACTGCTGAACAGTACTGAGTCTTCTTTGTTGTATTTTTCATTTCATGATGCACCAGATGTTTTTAATTGCTGAATGGTCTGGACTGCAGGCAAACCAGTTAAGCATCTGACTTTTCCACTGGAAAGTCATGGTTTTGTAATAGCTGCAGTATGCAGTTTAGCATTATCTTACTAATATATCGAAGGCCTTCCCTTAGAAGAAAATGTCTTCTGGATGGCAGCATTAGTTGCTCTAAAACCTGTATATTCCTTTATGCATGGATGGAGCGTTTCCAGATGTGCAAGTTGCCAATACAGTAGGTACTAATGTACCCCTATTCCATCAAAGATGCAGGCTTTTCACCTGAGCGCTGATAACAAGGCAAGTGGTCCTTATCCTCCTTAGTCTGGAGAATGCTTTTTCCACGAGTTCTAAAAAGAAATGATAAATTACAAATTTTGATTAATCTTACCACAAAACACTTGTCTACTTTTGATCAGCTGATTTTAGATTCGCTTTAAGATAGCTGCATGCTCTCATTTGGCTTCTTCTGTGCATGATAGAGCTTTGACCTGCAGTTGTATTTTTTATATTTTTAAATAAATAATGATTGATTTTTAACACTTGGATGAAAATCAGTGACTGCCTGAAGTTTAGAACAAATGGATCACCGAATGCTGCGTCTCCCCTGTTGAGGTTCTCTTCCAGGCTTTTAATGCAACCTTCAGTTGCTGCTTGCTTGTAGGCCTCTGTGCTGGAAAAGCATGCTCTTGGTCACATGATCTCAAAAATATCCTATTTCTTTGATCTGGACAAACGTTTGGGTTGCTTTTGGAGCATCCTTGGGTCATTATCCATTTGCACTGAAACACTGATCAGTTTTGCAACATTTGGCTGAATCTGTGCAGAGAGTATAGCCCTGCACACTTTAGAATTCATCCTGCTTCCTCTATCAGCAGTCACATTATCAATAAACACTAGTGACCTGATTCCACTGGCAGCCATACATACCTTTTCCATAATGCTACCTCCACCATGTTAGACATATAATGTTGTATGTTTAAGACCATAAGCTGTTTCTCTCCTACTCCTTTATTCCCATCATTCTGGTTCAAGTTCATCTTGGTTTCATTTGTCCAAAGACAGATGTTGCGTTGTTGTTTTTCTTAACTATAGAAATAATTCTGTCATCATGCAGTTTTCTTCTTTTTTAGACCTTTTGGGTCTTTAGATATTGCTAAGCTGGCCAGGTTCCATTGATTGTTGATTTGGCCTCTTCTACATTTTTTAGTATCTCTCTGAAAGGTTTATCTATTTATCTATTTATATTGGCAACCTCACTAACTTACAAGCTCTTTGTTTGGCCCTCATTTTTATCAATACAGTAAAAGCCATAAAACACATTTCAACACTTTTTCAGATGCGACTAACTAATTTTCTCAGAGATTAATAAAATATGCTGATTCTGATTCTTATATCATGTCTGCTTCTTTTCTCATTAAATAACAAGTGGACAGCCCTTACCTGGCCACAAAATAGCTGGACAGTAAGTAGCCCAATTAACTTTAAGCCTTTGAAAATGGGCTGATTATATCTCCAGTGAGTAAACATTTACTAGAATTTTTTTGTAAAACCCCTTGAATCTCAGCTGAAACGTGGACAACATCTGCATATTAATTAACCATGACTGTTTAATTTTAAAAGAACTGTAACAGCGTCCAGAAGCAAAAGTACAAAAATTATATCTTTATCCAACAAAATTATCAACCAAACACTGGTATTGTTTTTTTCCCTTTTCTCCATGTAGCCTGCATGTATTACAGGTATCTCAAATATAGTGCAGAACTGAGAGCTCTTTAAAATATATATTACCTAATTCCATTTTTAGATGAATGTGGTGTAAAAGGTCTACAATGTAGTCCGTGCCTCTTCTTTACAAGTTAGAACTTTGGCCTTTTTCTGCCACTATTGAACTGTTACAGCAGGGGTTCCTAAATACAAAATTCTAAATATAAAATTTCAGAATTGAAAACTCAAATTCAGCCCACTACTGGATTCTGTCCAGTCCCTTCTTTCATCATTGCCATATTTCTGGAGTCCATCTGTCCATCCGTCCTTAATATCCACTTGACCCAGCTGTGCAGATGGTGTCTGGTCATAATCTGAATTTTATGTTGA